AGCCTTTTACAAAAACAGTTTGCCAATTCCTGGTCTAGGATATACAGCTAGTTAATATTTAAGAACGAGTGGGCTCTTCTTGGCTCCTAGAAAAGAACCCTTTATCTACTGCTTCATGATGCCTCTGGAGTTAATGCAACATCTGGGTTATCCAGGTTGGATAAGAAACTGAAATTGGTTATCTGTTGAATTACTTAAATAACCTAGTCACTGTAAAGATGTTAGTGTATGGGATTAATGACATCTCAAACTTCTAACCCCCGCCCCCCCACCGGCTGGGCCTCAGGCCCCTGGGGAGCAGCAGGAAAGCCAGTCAGAGGAACAAGTTGTTAGAATTGCTAGTATGCAAGCCAGTGCACAGATGCCACCATGAGAGGAGGGAGGAGGTGTAGGGACAGAATGACATTATCTGCCTCTTACAGGGGGGAATCAGCAGGTTTTCAGCACCTGAGAAGTTTTTAAGCTTAAAGACTTTTGTGCAGTTCCTTTTATTTACAAACTAAGTGATGGTATCCCTTGTCCACTGAGACATACCTCCCACACTCTAAACTGACTCCCTCCCCAGTAACCCCAGAAGTATCAGGCTCTTGAAATTACAGGGCATGAACCTTTAATGGTATGCATGCATGTTGATGTTTTCAGGAGTGACTTTACTATGTCTCTTTTTACTTTGCTTTGAAATGAGAACTTGGTGACTTTTCTCTCCTATTTTCTGAGCAGTCAGTTTCTATCCTTTTAATACGTCTTCCCATCTTTTTTATTTTACCATATAATTGTGATACCAAACCATTCAAATGATAATGTTGTCCAAGGTTTTAGAAGTCTCCATTTTTTTTTAATGTTTATTTTAAATTTTCAACTCATGGGCCAGGCATCCTAAAATTGTCTCCTAAGTACACAAGTCCAAGTGAGCCTCCTGTGAGCATCTCTGGAGCAAAATTGTGCCCATGTTGGGCAAAAAAATTCCAAAATATCCATTCAATAGTTTCAAAGCATAGGGTATCTGGTCTCATGAATAAAAGTCCTGATAAACTTTGTGAAAAATAATAAAAGATAAATCATGGTACTTCAAAGCTCACGCTCTGTGCTGAAGTGCTGTGCTGAATACCAGCCTGCCACTGATTGAGAAAGTTATGTATCTCCTTTGTGCCTCAGTTTCTTGCCTGTGAAGCAGGGATGCTGATCATAGTAATATAGTAAAAAAATTTGCTGAGGATTAAATGACAACATATGTAATTGTTTATAACAGTGCCTAGCATATGGTAAGCTCTCAGTAATATTAGTTGTCATCATTCTTATTAAACAGAGAATGAAAATCTAACTTCCTTTATTTGTACACAGGTCTTTGAACCTGTTTCCTTTTTTCTTTATATTTTCCTACTATGTTACCATTATATGGGGGGCCCAGGCAGTTTTAGGCTGGACTCTAATTTTTCAGGGCCCTTGAATATGTAAAAATACCTGTCATATTCGTGTCATACTATTCTATAATCCTAAAAGCCAGGAAAGAAAAACAAAATATAACCAAATCAATCTCAAGAATTCTTAGAGAAATATGCCAAGTATTAACACTTGAAAACTCCTGTGTGGAAGGTTACAAACTTTTGCAGATCCATGTACCTTCAGCATTGTTGACTCTGCTCCATAAATTCTCTGTTCACATTGCATCACATAGTATACAGGTCACCCCAGATATTACGATAAGTAATTCCCAGGTAGTTTTGGTACATCCTCAAAGGTTTTGTATAGAATTCACATAGCTTCATAAAAAATAATTGTGGTTGTATGGATTAATTGAAATGTATGCAACGTGATTTTTTCCAAATAACTGTTATGTACTAGCCTGATATATGTTAGCTAATTTATTTTTACTCCTTCAGAATTATTTCAGAGGTTGGTATCTACTGAGGATTTTATAAAATGAAACAGTCCTGGAAGGCATTATAGTCAAACCGAGAAGACCAGCGTAGAGTATCAGCACACAGGAATCCCAAACCCTCAACTGCCAGGTCCCTTTCAGAGAGCCCCCAGAAGGAGCAAAATAACAATGGAAAGAGCTACCATTTCTTTTTTTTTTCTTGACTAACCAACATTTCTCTTCCAAAGATTGCTTGATTGTCGATTACATGCAGGGCCACATCTTAACTTTAAATACATTGTCTATAATCCTCATAACACCCCTACAAGGGTTGATGTTCTCATTTCACACATGAGGGCACAACAAAAGCATAGCCAGGTAAAGTGACTTTACTGAGGTCAAGCAGGTTACCCCCAATGTGTGATGTGTACCTTGTCCCATGTATTGCAGCTCTACCATTTACTGTCTATGCTGCCTCGCACAGGTTACTTCACTCTTTGCCTCAGTTTCCCGAGGGTATATATTATTGTAGTGTGTTCATTCTTGTTGTTTAGCATGTGTTTCTTGAGGACGTCTCTATGCCACGTATGATTTTAGATACTGAGGACATAGTAGTTAATAAGATACATGAGGATTCTACTCCAGTGAATGCTCCTTTCTGGAGAGGTGGGAAGACAGTTAACAAGGAAACAAAACAATGCCAGGGATTTATAGGTACTGAGGCAAATAAGTCAGGGAACATGATTCAGGGAAATGGGGTGGGGGCAGAGTAGTTTGAGGAGAGACCTCCGAATAGTGATACTTTGGCTAAAACCAGAATGGGCTCTGAACCAACATGAGCTTTAGCCAGGGTAAGCCCCATCAGGTGGAGGTCACTGCCATGGCTGTCATCATCATTAGTTTTATGTCTTCATTCAGGCAGTAGACACTTGTCACCTGAGAGACTCGGATTTCTGGACAGCCTTGCAGTGATCCTTTGCAGCCATGTGAGGCTGTGGTGCCTATGGTGTTGATGAGTCCGTACCATCTGCTTAATAACACTAAGAACTGAGTGCAGAGTTGTGAAGACTTGAGTAGTTTGAGTAACAGGGCAGCAGGGGAGGGAGTCTGAGTGGCTTTCCCTGCCAGAATCCGGCCACAGCAGGGCCAGCCCTGTGCTTTACCTAAAAGGCACGTGCTTTACGTGACAGGAAGCAGTAAGGGCTCTGGGGAAATGCAGCCTTAGTTGTATTAGTTTCCTTAGCAGAGTATCATAAAGTTGAGCCTGTTAAGTTATGGAATAAAAAGAGTAAATGATTAGCAAATGGCCATCTGTGTGATTTGTGTTGTTTCCCTTGTCTTAGCTGTTAGAGTAGATTCCTCCCCTGCTTAGTCCTTTTTGTTACAAGTACTTTAGCAGCTCCCTTCTATCCCAAATTTTCTTCCACAAGGTCTTTTTATAAGCCATCTTACACAAAAGCAAAGCTATAGGCCTACGGAATGCCAGTTTGGTGTTCCTAGTATTCACTGAAAACAGAGTAAGAGGGAGGAATATGAAAATAAAAGAATGTAAAGTTGGAGTAGAATAAGTTTTTTAAAATCCTGTAAATATTATTATTTATAAACATGTAAGAGTAATATAGAGCCAGGCATGGTGGCATGTGCCTTTAATCCCAGCTACTTGGAAGGCTAAGGTGAAAGGATTGCTCGTGTGTAGGAGTTTGAGTCCAGCCTGGACAACCTAGCGGGACCCCACGTCTTTTGTAAGAAGAAAGAAAGAATAATATAGATTATCTACCTATCATGTAGGATTTAGGAATAATTCATATATGATAAATGTCTTAAGGAGAATTGATTTATTGGTGTTACATTTTGCCAGCCAGGCTTTTTTTTTTTCTTTAATCACTTTTAATGATGATTATACATTAAGAAGTAAATTCTGCTGGAATGCAATGGCTTGTGCCTGTAATCCTAACACTTTGGGAGACTGAGGCAGAAGGATCACTTGAGGCCAGGAGTTCGAGACCAGCCTGACCACCATAGTGAGAGCCTGTCTCTACAAAAACATTTTTAAAATTAAGTGTGGTGGCAAGTGCCTTTAGTCCCAGCTACTCAGGAGGCTGAGGCAAGAGGATCACTTGAGCCCAGGATTTTGAGGTCGCATTGAGCTATGATGACACCTCTACACTCTAGCCCAGGCAACACAGAGAGACCCTGTTTCAAAATTAAATAAAGGAGAAAGTTCTGATTATGCTGTGGAGTTGAACTATTAATTTTAATAAAATCAGATACTGTGTTTTGGAAATACCGATCTTGTTTGGAAAAATCCCAGGAGACAACAATGTGCTTTTAAATGCCTATCTGGTATAGTTGAGGGAGAGTTTTGCAGTCGGTACAGATTGGTTAATTTGAATCATATACGTCTGTGGTCCCCAACCCCTGGGCCACGGACCAGTACCAGTCCGTAGCCTGTTAGGAACGGGGCCACACAGCAGAAGGTGAGCTGCAGGTGAGCAAGCAAAGCTTCATCTGTATTTACAGCTTCATCTCATATCACCACCTGAGCTCAGTGTTGCCATTAGATTCTTATAAGGAGCATGTAACCTATATCCCTCACGTGTGCAATTTACGTAGGATTCCCTTTCCTACAAGAATATAATATCTGATGATATGAGGTGGAGCTGAGGTGGTGACGCTAGTGCTGGGGAGCAGCTACAAATACAGATTATCATTAGCAGAGAGGTTTGACCGCACAATAAATGTAATGCTCTTGAATCATCCCCAAACCATCCCCCATTTCCTAACCCCCAGTCCATGGAAAAATTGTCTTCCATGAAACCAGTCCCTGGTGCCAAAAAGGTTGGGGACCACTGAATACATAGTTGTCTCATATCTGTCTTTTTTTTTTTCTTTTACAAGAGCCTTCTGTGTTGGCCCTATTTTCTCTCTGATAAACAAGTCTGTGTATTATAACACTGGATAATGATATCACTTTTATTTCCATAAATGACTCTTGTATGAGCAAAATTTGAGTAATAGTGTTTCAGGAATATGTCAGCATAGTAGGCAATTTAGGCAGATGATTTTGCCTTTTTAAATTACATAAAAGGCCAGGAGGTCAAATATTTAACTTCTTTAAACATATCTGTTTTCATTTCAACAGAAACAGACGATTATGCTGAGATTATAGATGAAGAAGATACTTACACCATGCCCTCAAGTAAGTAGACTTCTGATTTGGTCTTGCTCAGGTTTGACAGATACCGCCTCATATTTAAAAATTTTTTATATTTATTGTCCCTTAGAACTATTTTTAATGCCTCATTGGGTACTAAACAGAAGTATTCTTTCAACCTTTAGAATATTATATGTGCCCACCCTGAGGTCAGAAGCCTAGAACTCAAATTATCTATAATCAGTTTAATTACATGATTTTTGTAATCTTGTTTTCTGGCTCTATGATAATAGAGCCTTTATTGATTAGAGTATTTTCTCTGTGTAGCAAATAAGTATTATTTAAATATGTGTGCATACGTGTATACGTACATAGATAGATAGATAGATGTGTATATACATACACACTCAAAGATTTCCATTTCCCCCTTGAAATTGTTTGTTCTTTATTGCCATTGACTAACCAATAGGAATAGCTTCTAGCCTTCATTCTGTATACCTCCAGGGGAAGGTGGGGAGAGAGACTGTACTCTTAAATGACATTCGTGCAGCCTGGAAATGTCAAGATTCTTCTTCTCTGGGTGATGTGCAGCTTGTTGATTGAGGAAAATATGGAAGCCCCAGATCTCACATTAGACTATATAGTCCCCAGATCTTGAATTGGATATACCCTTGAAATTTCATTTGCATAAAAAAATGTAAACTTACCTCTTACAGAGGGCTCAGAAACCTTAGTAAACCAGAATCTGAATGTTCTGAATTCAATAGAGGTATACATGTTTATAAAATAAATGTTTCAGGTGCTTTGTTCTATTGTGTAAATATTTTAAAAGATGCTCTCCTTTGGATTTTCTGCGTACTTTGAGGAGACACTACCAAAATAAAGAGAAACAACCTGGCCTTCTCAGGCATGCATCATTCTGAGTGGGCATATGTCCCCTTTCAAGAACTCCTGTATTAGAGAGTGATTGGAAACAGAGGCAAGAACTGAAACATAAGTGTATACATTTTGGCTACAGTATCAATTTGGAAAAATATTTAAACTTAAGTTTAATTATTTGATTAGCCATATAGTCATTTGTACATTCCTGCAGAGAATCCAAATTTTTATTTGTATGTTTGTTATTTATAGTTAAGTAGTAAAAATGTCTAACATGGCTGACTTTTATCCAGACCCCACAAAAAGAAGTTATTGTATAGGAATTTATGAGATAAGAATTTAAAAGCATTGTGTAAATAAAATTGCGTTAACTTGAGGATATTTAGTTTTTACTTGCTTTTAGTTCTCTTTTATTATATTTATGCTTAAAATATTTTAAAAATGAAATGTTACTGAAATGTACTCTCCAAGTTTGTGTTATTAACCTCATTGCTGTTAGTTATTTCTAAGCAAGGTCTTCAATTTTTTTCTCTCTTAATTGCAATACAGAATGCTATGGAATAGATGAAGGTAACAGGACTCCTTTAAAATAACTGCGTTTACTTGCAATTAGAACCTATAGAGTGATATATGGGATGTTTCAGTTTTCAGTTAACTTTTATTTTAAAACTTTGTTATTGGTTTACTCATACTGTTACATCAACAGAACTACTAGCTAAAGTGATTTTAAAGAGGAAAATAACTATTTAAATTTTGAGTTTAATGTTCTCTATGGTTTATAATTTGATAAACCAAGGAGAACATTTAAAAATGTTTGGCTCTTGGTTTATTCCATCAGTGATTACACTGATGAAATGTATATAACCTATGGGGATGAGTTTCTTAATTGAAATAAATCAAAATACCAAGTAGTTAACTGAATTAGAATTCAATCTATTATGTTGCTAGTAGGTATTTTCTTTCCATGTTCCTGAACAGCCTACTAAATAATTGGTTTTGTATAAATCACAATTTAATATATGAATTTGAGGCACATGCTCTCAAAAGTATAAAGTACTCATAATTTATTATGCTCATATGTTAAACCTTGATTCCAAGTCATCTAATTTTGAAATTAGTTTTTAGAAACAACCTCTTTAAACTCTTTTAGCTTCATGAATAATATAGAGATAGGATTGTAATGAAGTAGAAAACTCTTAAACATCCAAAACATAAAGTTTACTGATGACACAATTTTATGTTGCTTACATATTTGCAAACTTTAGTTATTTATAAAATAATTGCTTTAAATAACTGTGTTTTTATAGCCTTCATATATTAATACCTAAACTAATAGCTCTTATTAATTAAGCATATAATTTAATACTTGGAGCAATTATTTAAGAAACTATCAAATAGATATAAAATAAATCAGATATTAAAAAACTAGGAACAGCATGAAAAATCTGCTTTTTGTAGAACTCATTGTTTTGGTAATTCATGCAATACCCTAACTGATACATAAATTACTGATAAAATATTGTTTAAGAGAATTCCATTCTGTTTAAAGCATTTTCATAGATCAATGTGCCACAGATGAAATTTTTACTTATGGATGATAATGAAATGAAATATGTCCATTGTTAATTCTACATTTTGAATATTGTACTGAAGTATTTAGTGGTGTGTGGATCATGTTTTGCAGCCAGGGATTATGAGATTCAAAGAGAAAGAATAGAACTTGGACGATGTATTGGAGAAGGCCAGTTTGGAGATGTACATCAAGGCATTTATATGAGTCCGGTAAGTCCTTTAAGACTACCAAAAATCTGGAGTAATTTTGACTGTTTAAATTTAAATTGCCTCTTGTTTGTGTTCATGAGTCCTTAGTTCTAGGTATTTACAGTTGGCTTTTATAAAGCTCATCATACACGTCAGCTTATTTGGTATATTTAGAAACCAAAAAAGTGGGAACGTTAGCTCCTTCAGGGCTGGGTCTGTCTTTTATTCATTTTAATCTTTCAGTTTTTGTCATCAGTAATAAATTCCATATGTGACTGTTCCATTGGATGGAACTGACATATTGAATGGCCAGAGTCAAAAATAGCCAGTCTTCCACATACCTGTGTTGTCAAGAAAAGAATATTAATTTGCCCTAATTTACCATACAGAGGAGATGAGTGAATTTTTAAATTTATTTTTCTCGTAAAAGCTTAGTGAAGATATTTTCATATTATAAAATTCATTTTTTTTTCTTTTTTTTTGAGAAAGAGTCTCCTTCTGTTGCCCCAGCTAATAGAGCAGTGGCAGCATCCTAGTTCACAGCAACCTCAAACTCCTGGGCTTAAGCGATCCTCCTGTCTCATCTTTCTGAGTAGCTGGGACTACAGGCATGTACCACCATTTCTGGCTAATTTTTTCTATTTTTTTGTCTTGCTCAGGCTGGTCTCAAACTCCTGACATCAAGCAATCCTCTCACCTTGGCCTCCCAGAGTGCTAGGATTACAGGCATGAGCCACTGTGCCAGGCCTAAAATTCACTCTTTTAAAGTGTACAATTCAGTGCTTTTTAGTGTATTCACAGAGTTATGCAACCATTACTGCAGTCAATTTTAGAACATTTTCTTCATCTCAAAAAGAAACCTTATATCCATTAGCAGTCATTTCCTATTCCACCCTTCCCCCAGCCTCTGGCAACCATTCATCTACTTTCTGTCTGTATTGATTTGCCTATTCTGGACATTTCATATAAGTGAATCATGCAGTATGCGGTTTTTTGTGATTGGCTTTTTTCACTTAGCATACTGTTTTCAAGGTTCATCCATGTTGCACATCTGTCAGTACTTCACTTTTATTGCTAAATAATATTCTTTCGTATAGATCCATACCACCTTTTGTTTATCCATTCATCAGTTGATAGATATTTGGGTTGTTTCTACTTTTTGACTATTAAAATGCTTCTGTGAATAGTCATATACAAGTTTTTGGGTAGACATGCGTTTTTGATTCTCTTTTGTGTATATCCAGTAGTAGAATTGCTTCATCATATGGTAACTATTGTTTAACTTTTTGATGAACTGCCAAACTGATTTCCAGTGAAGTTGCACCATTTTCCATTCTTAGCAGCAATGTGTAAGAGTGAATATCTCCACATCTTCACCAACACCTGTTATTATATGTCTTTTTTTATTAGATTGGTGATTTTAAAATATCATTTTAGAATAATAGTACAATCATGCGTTGCTTAACAACGGCCATACATTCTTGGAAAATGTGTCATCAGGCAATTCATTGTGTGTGAACATTGCAGAGCGTACTTACACAAACCTAGATGATATAGCCCACTGCACGCCTAGAGTATACAGTATAACCTATTGCTTCTAGCCTACAAACTTGCACAGCACATTACTGTACTGAATACTGTAGGCATTTGTAGGACAGTGGTATTTGTATATCTACACATAACTATGTATAGAAAAGGTACAGTAAAAGTATGGTATAAAAGATAGATGCGGCTGGGCCTGGTGGCTTATGCCTGTTACACCAGCACTCAGGAGGCCAAGGAGGGAGGTTCACTTCAGGCCAGTAGTTCAAGACCAGTCTGGACAGCATAGTAAGAGTCCTGTGTCTATAAAAAATAAAAATAAAAAGATTAGCCAGGCATGGTGACATGCCCCTGTACTCCCAGCTACTCAGGAGGCTGAAGCAGGAGGATCGCTTAAATCCAGGAGCTCAAGGCTGCAGTGAGGTGTGATCATACTACTGCTCTATCAGCCTGGGCAACAGAGCTTAGTTAATTAATACATTCATTATATATAGTATACCAGTCTAAGGCACTTACTGTGAATGTTACTTACAGTACTGGAAGTTGCTCTGGTGAGTCACTGCGTGGTAAGTGAAAGTAAAGGCCTAGGACCTTACTGTACACGACTGTAGACTATATACGCTGTGCACTTAGGCTATACTAAATCTTTTTCTTCGGTACTAAATTAACCTTAGCTTTCTATAACCTTTTTACTGTATAAACTTTTTAATTTTTTTAATGTTTTTACTCTTATAATAACATTTAATTTAAAACCCAGACATCGTATAGCTGTACAAAAACATTTTCTTTCTTTAATTGTTTTGTTTCTTTATATCTTTTACTATTTTTTAATTTTTTCTTTTTTTTTACTCTTTTGTATTAACACTTGGCTTAAAACACACATTGTATAGCTGTACAAAAACATTTTCTTTCTTTAAATGCTTTCTTTCTTTATATCCTTTACTATTTTTAAAATTCATATTTTTTGTTACGTTGTAAATTTTTTTTTTTTTTTT